GATCTGCGGAAGAATCGGCGAAAAGAAGGGAGCCGACGTTAACGAAGGTAACTTTGTTTTAAATATTGATTTTATAATGGATTTAAAACCCGACGGCCTTTGCGTATATGAAACAACTAAACAAGACAGCATATAATTTCAGTGTATCTTTAATATTGATTTCCCTTTTTTATGATATTGAATTTTTTAAATAAATAAGAAAGCAAAGTTATTTGCAAGCGAGAATTTTAAATCATTTTATTGCAAACTCAAAGTTTATCGATAAAGCCATTTTAAAAGACAGTTTAGTTTTATATTAAAGAACACTAATGACTTTAAAACGCTTTGCGAAGCGTTTGTGGTTGAATTTTACCTTAAATCGAGGCTTATATCACGTATAATAACATACTTAACTTATATATGTTGGGAAATTAATAATTTTGTGATTAAAAGTGATATTTATAGGCGATTTTTCATTTGTAAGAATATTCTTAAAAATTATCGTGTTACCATGACAACTTAGATACTTCATGTTCGGAAAATACAATGGTTTTGTCAGCAAGGCGAGGGTTTCTGCATGCATGTATTTTGTAGTAAACGTACATACAAAAGCAAGAAGTTATAAGGCAGAATAGGTTTTCGGATTGTCAGATTCCAGCAATTTTATTAATACAGCGGATTGCGGATTTATGTAATATTTTGGCTGAGATTGGGGATTTTGCTTGCAATTTAGTTCGAATTTGCAAGGAGTTTGATATTCAAATTGCACTTTTCCTGCATACTGAACAGGTGTCTTAAGGCCTGTTTACACTTGCAATTTTTGCTGCGATTTTAAGTGCGATTTTTTCTGCTGACGTGATGGCGACATGAAATCGCCAATGTAAACACCCTGCGATTTAACTGCAATTCCAGTGCAACTTCACTGCGACAAGCTGCGCAAATATTTCGATCGTGATCGAAATTTATCGGAACTCACTGCGATTTTTCAAAAGCTGTGAACAAAATACGACTGTGCTACCCCTCAACGGCAGGCGTTGTCACCTTCAATAAAGGCGTTTATCAAAACCAAGCAACATAAACTTATAAATATTTACAATTCTTCACTTTCACGCTGTTTTTAAAAGCAATATTGCACAGGTAAATCTACTATGTGAATGCAGTTAACAATAACATATGAAATAAAAACGAAGTACTGCAATCATAGATATCTTATATACACTAGATAGTGCATCAAATTATTCTGCAATTCAAAAATTGAAGCCGTGATTGCAGTCTCAGGTCGTTCATAATAATAATAATTTATTTGGTTTACCACAAAAAAATACAAATACTAGAAAATCATACATATCACAAAAAAAATAATTGTGGTAAGGAAGCCCAAATAGAAACCATCAGGCTTGTATACTTTGGGCTACCTCATTGATTTCAGCTAGATTAAATGAAACATGTGCATGATACTAGGGCAAAGACAGATATTCGAGTAAAAATGAAATGAACCAAATTACTAAATATTGAAACTATATGTAACGAGAAAAAAGAAACGATCTTAACTTAGATTGAAAACTAAAAATAGATGATGAATTACGTATATCGGGATTCAACGTATTGAAAAATTTTGGTCCTTGATAATTGACAGAAAATAGGCGAGTATTTGTCCTGCAATAAGGGACGCTAAGTGTTCTTGATTTACGGGTATTATAATTGTGAATTTGATTTACAGTTAAAAGTGGACATTCAAAACAATTAGGAAGCAATTTATGTTTGTATTGATAAATAAACTTTCCGAGGTTAAATAAATAGACATCTTCGAATTTCAATATTTTAAGTTCATCAAAAATAGGACTGGTATGCACACCGAAGTCCTGTTTATCAATGATTCGTAACACACGTTTTTGTAAGACAACAATGCGATTCAGATTAGTTGAATACGTCGATCCCCATACCGTAATACAATATTGAAGATATGGATATACCAGAGCAAAGTAGAGCATTCGCAAAGCTGATTTGAAGAGATAAAAACTTGATCTATATATAATTCCAATAGATTTAGAAATTTTATGAGCAACATGGGATATATGTGCTTTCCATGATAAGTTCTCATCTAACATTACACCAAGAAAACAAACTTCTTTGACTTTATTAATTTCATTATTGTTTATTTCCAGTTTCAAGTCAAATTTTTGCCTTTTTTGCCTTGGCTTAAATATTATATAGTTGGACTTGGTTGTATTAATAGAAAGTTTATTAGACTGAAACCATTCCGAAAGCTTACATAATTCAGAATTTATCAGACCCATTAAACACGACAAGTTATCATGAGAATAGAACAAGTTAGTATCGTCAGCAAATAGAATAAACTCTCCAATGTCCGTAGCATTATATATATCGTTTATATATATTAAGAACAGTAATGGGCCGAGAATTGACCCTTGAGGAACACCGCATTTTATTGTGTTGAACAGGGAACAAATGCCATTGTACTGTACATATTGCATCCTATTAAATAAGTATTTTTTTATCCAATCAAGAGCCAGTCCTCGGATACCATAGTGTTCGAGTTTGGAAATTAAAATTTCATGGTCAACAGTGTCAAAAGCTTTCGATAAGTCAAGGAAAATACCAACAGTGTGCTCATTGGCATCAAAGCCTGTAGAGATTTTGTCATAAAGGTTTATAAGTGCTAATGAGGTTGAGTGATTTTTTCTAAAGCCATATTGATTTTTAAATAATATCTGATTAACATTTATATAGTTCATTAAACGTTGTGCACAACTCTTTCCAGAATTTTGGAAAAAATTGGTAAAACAGATATTGGTCTATAATTAGAAAACAGACGATTGTCACCTGATTTAAAAATTGGTATTATACGTGCAATTTTCATCTTATCTGGAACAATACCAGTTTCGATAGACAAATTTACGAGTTTGCAAAGAGGTTCAGAAATAAGATCAATACTGTTTTTTACTATCCACACAGGGATTTTATCATAGCCGGCAGCAGAGCCAGAACGAAGTGACCTCACTATTTCAATGATTTCAGATTCAGAAGCTGGCTCAAGAAATATAGTCTTTGCAAAATTACCACCAAGATAGGAACTGGCAGTCTTAAGTGTAGTTGGTATTTGTTTGGCTAAGTTAGGTCCAATATTAGTAAAATAGTCACAAAAACGATTAGCTATCACCGTTGGATCAGTGATATCATGATTGTTGGATGAGAAAAGTGAGGGTAACTTACTTGGACGTTTTTTCCTATTAGTCACTTCGTTTAGGATCTGCCATGTCTCTTTGATATCAGAAGTCGCACGTTTTAATTTTGTTTCGAAATATAAACGTTTAGCTATTCGGATTGAATGATTTAGTTTATTTTTAAAGTCAATATAGGTTTTTTTATTTTCAAAACTCGGTTTCCTCAGATATTTCTTATAGAGTTTATTCTTTCTTTTTATTTATGTTAAAAGGCCGTTGGTCATCCATGGTTTAGAAAAATTAGTAGAACACACTTTTTGCCTGCGCAGCGGAAAACAAGTATCAAAAATTTCAGAAAATTCATGTAGAAATTTGCTGTACGAATTAATTGGGTCATTCAGTCCGCAAATACCCGTCCAATCTGTATTCCCGAGTTTGTCACGAAACTTTGACACGTTATTATTGTGTTTATCGCGAATAACAACCCAGTTACCCACATCTGATGGGTTGGCTTGCTCATACGCATGTGGTGGTAAACAAAAAATCGGCAAATGATCAGAAATATCATTGAAGAACAAACCACTAAAACAGCAATTATCCAAGTTGTTTGTAAATATATTATCAATTAACGTCGCATTATAGGAAGTAATTCTTGTGGGACGTGTAATTAATGGAAAAAATATATTAGAATACATGATATCTATGAATTCACTGTAGTCAGTTTATGATTATGACAGTTCAATAAATTAAGGTTAAAATCACCCATTATATAACAAGTTTTATTTTCTCTAGAGATTATATTTATTAAGGAATCCGTATTTGTATTGAATTCATTAATATTTTGACAAGGAAGGCGGTAAACAACACCGACAATAACGTTTTTCCCTCTGGGCTTAATAATTTCGATAAACAAAGACTCAGCACAATCGTTATTGTTATAAATTAAATCTTTACGCACTTTATAATTAAAATTGGCTGAAAAATATAATCCAACGCCACCGCCTGCTCTACAGGGTGTATCAAAAAAAAGGAGACCTTTAGAAATCAAGCATATTGTTAAAATTTGAGTGCCTTTTCAATTGCACATATGCTGAACCGGGGTGCGTGAAATAATGATGGAGTGCATATATTAGAAAAAGGAGATCTTTAGAAATCAACCATTGTTATAATTTGAATCCTGGCCGCACTTTGCTAATCCCACGAGTGCGGAACATGCGATCTACGTACAGTATACATGGCAGAGTGTTCCCAGGAGCAGACAGTCTTGTGTTTAAACGTTATTTCAATTTCTAAAAGTCTCCTTTTTCTAATATATGCACCCCATCAATATTTCACGCACCACGGTTCAGCATATGTGCAATTGAAAAGGCACTCAAATTTTAACAATATGCTTGATTTCTAAAGGTCTCCTTTTTTTTTATACACCCTGTATTATGACGGTGATTATGAATAAAATTATAGCCAGGAATTCTCCGAGGATTGAAGCCAGGTTTCAGAGAGGACAATGAATGAAAATTTATGATCAATATTCCCCAAAAAATTAGAAAAAGTATCAAAGTTCCTTGACAAACTCCGAATATTAATATGAAGGAAAGATAAATCGTTAGAAGTTTCCTCAATATGTAATTTTTCATTAAATTTATGCTCGGTATAATAATCGCAGTTATTAACGTCTTGATAAAAATTAGAGTCAGGGTCAATTTGACCAAAATTTGGTCAATTTGCAAAATTTGGGTGCATCAAGTTTTTGAGTCAAAATACTCAGGAATTTTTTGCAGTGTATATAATAAGCACTGTTACAATATATATGAATTGCGATGTTTTCTCTTATATTTTAGCTGCGACAGAAATGCGATGAACTTCAACGTGATATTGAAAGTCGTATGATGGAAGCACAATCCAAACAACCACGATCTGATTCCGTCTCGAGCGACCCTTCCTCTACACAATGGCCTTCCGCTTCAGCCGTTTAGACAGGCTAGGTTCATCATTACCAGGGATATATGTATTGTAAAATATGTGCTTACTTAATGCAAGAAATTATTGATATTATATCCATCTCGCTGGGGTTCAAAGCGAAGCTTATACTGTTATCGGCAATAGGATTTAGGTTGATTAAAAACGAAAAAGCTTTTGAAATTGTAAATATTAATGGACAACTTGCATGTTAGACTAAATTTTAATCTAAGCAGAGAAAAGGGAATCAAACACCACAGCTAAAAAGAACATACTGAAATTAGTAAAAGTGCAAAATTTGGTTGCGAAATGTTGTAAAGCTTGGAAAATATAGCTTTGCAAAGTTTGCATATTTTCAGTATATTTGTATTACGAGCGGAAATTGTTACCATTTTCGGCTCAAAAATGGTAACAATTTCCGCACGTAATACAAATATACTGAAAATATGCAAACTTTGCAAAGCTATATTTTCCAAGCTTTACAACATTTCGCAACCAAATTTTGCAAGTTTACTAATCTTAATACGTTCTTAATGGGAATTTACTTTTTTTTTGCCTAGGTCGGCTAGATCAAAAATATGTCTAACATGCAAGTTGTCTATTAGTGTAGGTTATTTTAGACAATTTTATTTTATTATATTTTACAAGTTTTAGTTGCCATTAAAATTGATAGACATATAAATACAGTTCGTGATATACTGTAAATTAAACTCAAATTATATACTGGATGACTGGAATGACCACACACAGAAAAATTCTCCAATAACGGTGTCCAAAACACTCAAAATGTAAAGTAAACATTGAAAAGTATAAGACAAACATTACAAAAATATCTATCCCATTTTTAAAATATTTGATCTCAAAACATACCGTGAAGACATATATGGGGTGAAAGTTTTGAGATACCCAAAGAAAACCATGACTGTGTTGAACTTAACCAAACAGCTTTGGCAGGATATTATAGTAATACGTCATGATGCTTAATTCAACTAAAATACCAGTTTTGCACGAGCCCGACAATTATTACAATGCACAAGCCCGACAATGTGTTAATAAGGTCATATCCTGAAAACGAAAAGAATACGTTGTCGGCCTATTATTGCCGTTTCAAAAGTTATTTTTATTATTTCAATTTAGACTTTGTTGCCGATATAATTTGTAGCACAACACACCCAAAACCTGGCTAAACTTGAAACCTTGAAATTCTTGCTCTATGACCAGTGTACAGTAGTTTGACAATTTTTATTGACATTCATTAGATATACCTATATGCAAGATGTTATGAATGAAAAGTTTTTAAAAGTAGCCTTCAAAAGTGTTTTTGTTTCTTCAAAACACTTTTACTCGCTTGATATATATACCAAGCGAGTAAACTACAAACCGGTATATAAAGATCCACCACCACGTTTTGATCACAGGCTGTTTTGGTCCTATATATATTACAGGACTCTATCTAACGGTCAAATGTTTTAATGGAACACAAAACGTTTCAATCTCGTACCCAGAGCATATATACCGTCCATCCCAAACCTGCGAATAGGCATGCTGTGTGTACGAGGCAACCTCGTTCCCAGGAAAGAGGTTGGGTGAGGTTGGGTACGAGGTTGAAAAAGTTTAGGATTCTATCTGACCGGAAAATTTGGATCAAATTAGAAGTCAGCGAAATCAATATAACTGGAACGCTATATATGCTGCAACAACCCTAGCACCTCTATCTCGTATTAAAATTCTTCAGTGATATTGGATAGCCGTGCATTGTTAAAAATATACTGTGCACCTTGAGATGATTTCAAATTATAATGCACACCTTATGGGTTTTAGATAAAGATTAATGCAAGCGGCCAACACAGGCCTTATATAGCAATCCCTCATTTTAAATAAGACGTTACATGAAGTTAATACGTTACTTTAACACCAAGCAATAGCTTTCCAACTAGACTTGGAAGACATTTCCCCCGTTTGTATCAAATTGAGGTTTAAATTTTCACCTTTTCTTAGAAACGTTATGACTAATTGTTTTTGCTAATAAGTAGACTTGTGCAGCGTGGTCCAGTTACTGATATATCCACTCATTGATATATCCAACCCATTGCACGCACCCAAAATGATTGAACAGGCAAAATAATCCGTTATGCAGGAACAGATTTGAGGAACTTGATCGCTTCTTTTCTCAGTAACGTCCTCGTATATATATAAGTTCGTTTATATATATATATATATATATATATATATATATATATATATATATATATATATATATATATATATATATATATATATATATATATATATATATATATATATACATATACATATATATATATATATAAGTTCGTTTACCTCAAGATTCCGCAACAGTCTGTTTCATCAGTAAAGAATCATTATACCGCCTGATGATTCTTTACTGATGAAACAGACTGTTGCGGAATTTTGAGGTAAACGAAATTCTATATTTGCTCTATCTTTATGGTATTGAGCACTCTTTGCGTTTCGTATACATAAACCTACTCATATATATATATATATATATATATATATATATATATATATATATATATATATATATATATATATATATATATA